CCAAAGGCGCTTCCGACTTCGAGTTGATTTCCTCCCATGAGCGCGTGATTCCGCCGAAGGCGCATCGCCGAGGGCGTACGGGAGTCCTTTCCGGCTGTGAACCCTAGCGCGAACGGCGCATGTTCGGCTACGAGTTTTCCGACGCTCATAACTTCTTCGTCCCTGATTCATCTCCGACGCTCTTGGGCTCGTTAGAACGAGCGTCCCGAGCTCTTTCTAATGCGACTTCAACCAACTGGATCTACCGTGTATTCCGCTCGTTATGAAGGTTTCCCTTTCCGCGCTAGCGGCGCATCGCCGAAGGCGCACTCATGGTCGGAAGCCTTCAGAGGTCCGGGCCGTTCTTCTGACGTCTTTAGCAAAACCTCCTCCTGAGGTGTCTGCGCCGGAAGCGTAGCTTCTTTAGACGCGGGAAGCGCGTGAGTAGAGACACCTCAGAAAAGGAGCTTTTGCCGAAGGCGCCGAAGACATTGGCGTTGGTGTATCCGACTACGCGATTCTTCGTGACCTCGTGACGATCTCCTCAATCCACTCTATTTAACGTACCCTTTTCTAACTACAAACACTGCTTCGGTACTAGTTTTCTAAAATTGTTAAAATTCTGCAAAAAAAACAAAAAGTGTGTTACCACAGCAACCCCAACTGCCGCAACACCGCAGTCACCTCCGCCTTGAGGTTCGCAATGGCGTCCCGCGACCTTGCCAGGAAGGCATCTAACCGCTTCGTCACTCGCCGTCGGCTCCGACTGTCACCCGACATCAAGCCCGCCGCACGAATCTCTAACTCGTGCAGTGTGATTTTCTCCTGCGCAGCCACTTCTCAGAGAGTGTAACCTCTGAGACAGTGGTTCACTCGTTCCACTAACTCCTCTCGCGTGCGATCTGCAGCTGGCCGGCGATCGTCTTCAATCACTACCAGCTGCATCTCTGCCTCCGCACGCTGCGCTCTCAATTCGCCGCACTGCGATTGCAGTTGCCGAATTAAGTCTTCGTCGGCTTGGCGTGCGCTCTGACACTGCTCTAGTAACCATGTCTGTTGCACGAGCCACTCTGACAAGATGCGATTTTAAGTTTGCTCATAATCGAGCTCATCCGTGAGCGTCGCCTGCTGCTTTGCGAATTCCTTCTTCGCCTCCTCTAACTTCTCGTCCTGCGTCTTGTTAACTACCTTCTACAATTTCCGCACGATTGCGAGGTGTCTGCGGAGAGCCTCGTTCTTCAACCGCAGGTCCTTGATGTCCTCGTCCAAGGAGGCCAACAAGCTACTTTTCCTGACCTTGGTGCGCGTTCGCCTGCACACCAATTCGACGTAGGACCCAGGGTGGCGGGGGTTAGCATACTTCGCCATCTTGCGATCGAGGTACCTCAACAGAGGTACCACCTGTTCGCACAATGCCGTCGTTGGCGTGCCTTGCACCGACTCCTCCTCCTCCTCCTCCGAGCTCGATTCGTCTTCGTCATCCTCCGAATTGAGGATTTCGGTCGCCACGGAATTCCATGGCGATTCCTAGGAGTTGAATTGCGTAGCTTCTGCCGCTGCTGCCGCCGCACTACTACGTGCCAAAATGTCTAATGCGGTGGGGGACCCTGTTCCCGACAAGCCCGCACCTCCCGTCTGATCTGCTACCACCAAAGGCGTATGAGCCGAAGGCGGGTGTGCCGAAGACACACGTGCCTCCTCCTTCTCTCCGTCGCCCGTACTCTCGCATTGGGTCTACACCGAAGGTGCTTCCGCCGAAGGCGTTTGTGCCGAAGGCAGCTCATCCGAAGGCCGTTGACCCGAAGTCCCTTGGGCCGAAGGCGCTTCAGCCGAAGGCGGCTCTTGACCCGAAGGCTCCTTCACACTTTTCTACTGCGCCGAAGCCTCCAGACTCGATGTCGAGTCATCGAACGGTACTTGCTCGGAAGCGAAGCACCTGTCCGTCGCCGGCACATCTGTCGGTGCCGCGTGTTGTTTTTCTTGATCCGAAGGCCTTCTCGCTTCCGCCGAAGGCGTCCGTGCCTTCGGCGTAGGGAGGTCCGCCGACCTCTCTGCAGTCCGCGCACTCCCATACTCCCCCGAGGATGTTGAGTTTCTTCCCTCAGCATCACGCACCGTCTCCGTGTTGCTTGCAGGCAATAGGAGCCTGCGTGCCTTCTGCTTAGGCCAACTGCAGAGCTCTGTCAGTGGCCGCTTCCGTTTGAGAGTAGCCGCCTCGCGTTGCTGGCCCTTCTCTGCTCCTCCTTCCCAACTTCGCTTCCGCGGCACTCGTGCTGCGAGCGATTCTCCCTTGGCCCTCGGTTGGGCTGGTGGCGTGCAGGCAGGTGTCTCGTCTTCGTCGGTGTCGACTTCGACGTCCTTCACATACCGACCCGAATTGCTGCGTGACAGCAATGGAAATTGCACTCGCTCGGTCGCGGTCAGACATCTCATCGACCGATAGAAATTAATCAAGAAGGAGGAGAGGTGATTGATCGATCCTCCCTTCTCCTCGAACGCATGCTGCCTCGTTGTCTTCCACAGAATGCGAGCCCAATGAATCGGAGCTCCGGCCAACGCCAGCTCCACGAATGCCACCTGCCAAGAAGTTATGTAGGTGGTCATGTGCGGCTGCAAGAGTTGAATAAGTGCTACCGCGAAATTCCTGCTGTAGCGATCCTTGTAGTCCAGGATCTTGTACCCGTTCTTGCTGGACTTGCTGCTCTTGAATAGGGTCGCGAAGGAAATCTCCTCCTCCTTCGTGACCTTGATGCTCTCGCTCTCGAACAAAAGATGGCCTTCTTCTCCCGCGCATCTTCCCAGCACCTGCTCCCAGTCGCCGACTTCCCATCGCTCCGGGTGCGGTCAAAATCCGCGCGTAGGTTGATCCCTTCCCTTCTGCCACTCGCGCACCATGTCTTGACACACCCAATTCCATCCCCACTCGAGGAAATTGAGTTTCACCGCAGTCAGCTCAGGTTGGAATGCGCGCAACCCAATCTGCGGTAGCTTCAGCAGAATCATCGGCAGCTGCGTCGCCTCCGACATCGCGTTCTTGAATTTCCTCGCGCAGTTCAGAAGTCCGCAACTTTCCTCTGCTATCTTCAAGCTTCTAGCACGCGGACGCGATCTCTTTGCGAGCTCCCACTCTCACTCCCTAGCAAGTCGCTCGGCCGCGCACTCAGCTGCTGCGCGCTATTCTTCAATTCCCCCCAAGTCGCAGCTCTCTCCGATTTCTCTCTGCCAATTCTTGCTGCGCACTCGTCGCTCGCGAGAAATCAAAATTGCAATTCCAAGAATGAGACGCCCGCCTTCGGCACACAAGTTTCATCGTTCGACACTTTGCTCGATTCTTCCTCTTATTGATCAACTCACTCTTAGCCCAGCGACCCTCTTGGCCTTCACACACACTCTTCCGCTCAGCCCTCCGGCGGCACTCTCAACGACTCCACGCTTTCAACACCCTCGCTCTCAAGGATTTCCCCCTCCTATCAGATTCCACCCACAATGTCGAGTATCAGATTTCAGTCTCAAACCCTCAATTCCCACCTTCGATTTCAGTTCCACTCCCAATTCCTACTCAGATTTTGGTGTCAATTTCTCAGCTTCCCCCTTCAGACCCCACCAGATTTCTCTCTCAGATTTAACTCTCACTTTTCAGTTTCAAATTCAGATCCCAACTGTCAGATTTCCGTCTAAGATTTCACTTCGATTTCAACTCCCACTCTCAGAACCTCCACTTTGATTTCAGCTCCCACTCACAGATTCGACACTTCAATCTCAAATCCAGATTAAATTTCACTCTCAGATACAACTCTCCACCCTCGAGAGTTTGCTCCCTCCTCCTTCGAATCCTCAACACTCCCCTCCTAATTCTCACTACTTCCCTGCGAAAAATCACTCACATACACACTCTATCCCTGCCACCGATCCCACCAGCGTCCACACACACCAGTACCTTTTGAGATCTCACTCCCAAGACCGAATTTCCTCTCCAAAAGTCCAGGGCTGAGACACCTAGAGGCCGCGTGAATGCCGTTCCCGCAGTGATGGGTAACGGTCTGCTTCCCATGCGCGACTTCATGCCCCGCCGTCCTGCTTCCCACGCTTGACTTCACGCCGCCGCCACTGCCACACTTGTACATTCTACATTCATGACCACGCCAACTTCCGCCGTCCGAAATCTTCTTCCGCGCACCGCCGAAGCCATCCCACCGCCGAAGACACTCTTCCGCACCTTTGCCTATCTATAACAGTCACCGACACTCATAACTCACTAATACCTGATCCTTTTGAAACGTTCTTGGGCTCGTTGGAACGAGCGTGTTGAGCTCTTTCCAACGAGCCCAAACTAAGTCAAACCGTTAAGAATTGAAAAATTTATCACGGTTTTACCCTTCCGCCGAAGGCTTTGCCTCAAAGGCCTGCTACCGCCGAAGGCCTTGCCCCGAAGGCCCTTCCGCCGAAGACCTGTTACCTAACCCTATCAGCCACTTTAGACATTCATAACTCATTGAACCCTTATCCATTTCAAGAAATCTTGGTCTCGTTGGAACGAGCGTCGCGAGTTCTTTTCAACAAAACCCTAATTAAGTCAAACCGTTACGAATTGAAAACGTTATGCCGGTTTTACTGTTTCGCCGAAGGCTCTTCCCCGAAGGCGTATCGCCGAAGGCCCCCATATCAGTAACTTCCGACACTTCTAACTTAGTGATGCCTTATCCGTTTCGAGAGTTCTTGGTCTCTTTGGAACGAGCGTCGCGAGTTCTTTTTAACAAGACCCCAACTGAGTCAAGGCGTCACTTATTGAAAACGGTATGAGGGTTTCACTGTTTCTCCGAAGGCCTTTTTCCCCAAAGGGACTTCACCGAAGACCTTGCCCCGAAGGCCCCCTTCCGCACCTTTGCCTACTAGCCATTACACATACTACTAATCTTGCCAAAACTTTCAGAAAACCCCAAGCATAATTTTGCAAGAGCTTAAATCCAAAATTTTAACTCTCATAAGGTTATAAAGACATGTGAGCACATTTTTGTGCTCACATGAAGATCCAAAGGTCTTTGTCCGAAGGCGAAGTCCAACTAAATTTCCCATAATTCTTCTAACTTCTATCACTTCGAACTTATATGTCTACATTCTGCACAAATATGTTTAAGTTTTTGATAATTTTTGAAGAAAAACAAAAAACTAGTCACCACATGTTGACGCATAATTTAGGCACATGTCTAGTACTTTCACTTGATGGAGAAATCAACTAACCTTCAACTTCATTTGTAGGTTGGATTTTACATCAGAAAGGTTGGGTACTTGAAAAAGCTAGCTTCGATCTGCAATGAGAAGTATGATGGAGACATTCCAAGTACTTTAAAAGAACAACTCGCTTTGCCAGGTATTGGTACCTAAATGGCCCATCTGGTATGTGGTGATGCATGGTGTTGTCTTCCAACTGTTTCTTGTAGTAAACTATTGATTACTTATGTAATGTGTCAAGAACCGATTTGTTTATGTAGATCTCATTTTCGATAGCGCTAAATGAACTGGTCTCTGTCACCTGTTTTGCTATGTATCAATAAACAAAATATCAAAACTTCGCACTTTTCGTCACTTACCCCTTTAGTGGCCTTTCCTCTCCAGATTATGAATGTTGGGCGGATGTCCAGGGCATCTGTGTTGACACTCATGTTCATCGCATATGCAACCGACTGGAGTGGGTTAAACACGCCAAATCTACTCCAAGCCATCGACTGGTATGCGTTGTTCAAAGTAACAGTAAGAATGATGATCTAGCAGCTTATAATTGAGGCACCTCATTGCCTTACGGAAGGTCTCGCATGACGTGCAATATATTTGAACTTACGCAGTGTCTTCAGCACACACCGTGAAGTAGTTTGATATCTTTCAAGCCTGTCTTTGTCTGCTGATCCTGATGCTCTGCATTTAATCTTGGCAGAACACAAATACTTCTGAAGAAACCAGAGCTTCATTAGAACAATGGCTTCCCAAAGATGAATGGAACTCGATCAATCCTCTACTGGTTTCGCCTCTAACTCGTGTCCTGTCTTTTGAGACATAAATCTCCCTCTTGATTTCAATCGAAAGAAGGATGGATGTCCCGATTTGTATATTTTTAATCTCCAGATATGTTTGATCCCACGGATTATCATTAACAGCTCATTTTGTTCGCAAATGCAGGTGGGCTTTGGCCAAACTGTATGTACCCCTCTAAGACCTCACTGTACGGACTGTCTCATCAACCAGCTTTGCCCCGCTGCTGTTATGGAGCCTATAAAGAGCCCAAGTAGAAGCCTTGCACGTGCAAAGGATCGAAACACAATGCTGAGCTTTCTGATTCTTACGGAAGATCTGAATTCTTCGAATCGGTTGAAATAGTCTTCAGCACTGAAATGAGGTGAAGAAACTCTCATCTGATTTGCCTCGTATTCGAATGGACTTTGTGCAGAATCGCCATTTCCCTTGAGTCTCCCGCATGCTTTCAGATACTACATCTTCGTGAAGGGCGCTCAAACGAGTTTCGAGTTCGGAAGCAACGACGTCGAGGCCCCTTGGCCCGTAAATTTTGACACAAGGTTAGAATTCTAGCTCTTCTAGAGTGTTATTTCACTGATGGCTCCAGCCCCCCAGAAGGGGCCTTCTTTGCCTTCCACCTAAGCTGCGCAAGAAAAACCCAAAGCCAATCCCACTGAGTTGTATCCACAAGTAAAGTACACCACCGTGAGCGAGTATCTGGATCGATTCGTCTAGCTCGGTCTACACGTCTACGATCCGAAGAATGATGTTTTGTGCCAAATCATAATCATGAATACTCACGAGAGCTAGGGAACCCACGGATTACTACCTATTGACTAAACATATGACTCGGAGACATCCATCCATAACGACAGTCATAGCCAAGGCCACGACTAGTTCAGAATCCCGGAAATGACTTGTCTATCTATCTCCGATCCTTCACCTGTCCACAGGAACAAATCGATTTGCTCAAAGATTGAGTCAGCACCAGCCGCCAGCATAAAATACGAATTCATCATGCGCAGCAATGGCATGTACTGGAGGGAGGGTGGGAGTGCATACAGAGCAGTCATCAACTGCGGCACTGTCTGTAACCTTGTTTGTAGACCAGAACATGTTCAATGTCAGGCCCGGAGCGAGCAGCAGCACTAACATTTTCTCCTCTGAACGGAAGAACGATCAATTTTATTTCTGTCTGAGATCGATTGGACAGTAACTCGAGTCACTTGAAGTGGATAGAAAATCCATCGTTCTGTCCCTGTCCTTACCAGGATGAATGTGGAGTTATGCTAGAAGTAGGGAGGAAAGTCGATGGCGGCCGCGCGACTGACCTTTGGGCGACATGGGACAGTTGCTTGATGGATCGATCTGGATGAGTAGAAGTAAGGAGAGGAATCGTAGTGCAATATTAGAGAACAGAGCAGAAATTGGCGCGGCGAGATGTGGGCACTCAGAATGACGTCTCAGGGAGAATCGTGAACGGGTAGCAAGTAGCATCTAGACGCACGCATGATTGAGAAAAAGAGCTGACATGATGCATGGAGGAGACTCTGACTACAAGTTGAGGTCCCGCTGGTGATGTAAGCTAGTGTCCGCCCTTCTCCTGGCCTCTGGGTTGGTCAGGCTGTAACATTTTCGGCTTTCAAGAAGAAATTTCACGAGTCTTCAATAGTTGAAGAACGCACCGAGAGTGCTTGCAAATCTTTGGGATCTGTTTTTGTTCCGAGGCTCTGTTGTGCTGAGATACACGTGGTTTGGAAAATTGATGCCGCTGGCTGGCACAAAGATTGTTTCATTGTCGATCATGATCGGGACTCCGAGTTTTCTGGCTCGTACATGCTCGCGCATATTGTGGAAGGAATATGATTTTAAATTGGACATTAGTTCCTACGTTGTGTTTGCATCGAGGGCTCGTTGTGTGTATCTCATGCTCGAGGATACTCGCCATAGCCAGCGCTGGCTGCCCAGCCCCATCAACTTGCGTAGTCGTGGACCACTCCGACTCAAGCTCATCGGAACTCATAATTAAGAAGGATACCAATCCAACGACCTACAAGAAAGAATAAAGAAAAACTGACACGTGTGATACGGAAGTACAGACTGTACTTTAACAGAAATCGGCGCGTTGACTTTATGTGCGATGACACAGATAATTTATCTGTGTTTTATATGAGATAAAAAACTAAAATGAACCTCAAGGTTGAGGTGACAAAGACAATCACCTAAATCAGCGGCGTCATAGCGCTGCAATTATACGCACATGGTAAACAGTAATATTCCTTACACCCGTTCGCCGCATTCCAGAGGACCAAGCGTCAGGACGGCCGTCACTTCAAATTAGATTTCTTTTTTCTTGGACCGCAGCCGCTCCATAATAATCCACCTTACTCCAAGGGGACCACCTGCTTCCTCGATCCGTGAAAATCTTGGCTCAAAAGCAATCTCGTAGGCGATCATGGTCTTGAAAAATGGTGTGACTGCGAAATTGCATGTATTTCATAACAAACTACATAACTTCAGTTTCACCACGTCGGAGTCACTGCCTGTGTACAGAGTGAGGAATCCTGACAGGGTATGTATCTAGGTCAATTTAATGTATAGCTTTGGCGTTATTGTGATATATTAACTAATATATCACAAAATCAAGCCCTTAATATATCTATTATATCGCAAGTCATAAAACCTACAAAGAGTGTATTACAACTAGTCCTAGATGCACCTGTCAGGGAATCAAGCGCCTTGAGCTGACGTGCAAACATGACTCCTTCAAGAGAATAGTCCGACAAGTTTGGATTGTACTCATCTCTGCAATAGTTCATGAAGGAAAAGTCGGTTTCAACGCGGCTCGTTGTTGGCATAACAGAGGCGAGACTTGCAACAAATCGACGCAGGGATTCGAAGCGATGGTCAACAGGATCCTAAGCTTGATTGAAGGATTTTCTTGGTGACTATTTCCAACGCTGCCTGAGGTTGGTATTTGCGTGCTACCGATGACGCCAACTCCTTGTGCTGATCTGAAATGGACATCATTATTGCCTCATCAAACGTGTTCAATATTCAAGGCTTGTGCTTTCGAACAATTTGAACAAAATTGATGGCAGAAACTGCAATCAAATCCATCGGAGACCTTGCAGGCACTGAGTCAAACTCTTGATTATAGCAGTTCCTTGCGGCTTTGATCTTCATGATGCCGTTCAATGAATTGAGATAGATCACAGCCATTGCTCGAATAACGATAAAGGCGTCAGTCATCTCCAATGATTCAAACTAGTCCATCGTCAATACAACTATGGAACAAATGTTATCTTTGATTGTGTAAGAGTTAACAATAAAAGGACCCATCTGGACTTCAGTAAGGGACAAGACAGTCCAAACTCAACAATGCTGTCGTCAACAACGGCTCCAAAATTTGACTTTAAACCTCGCAAAGCCTTTTCAAATTGTCCATTTGCTGAGACAAATTCGCATCGGCCATTTTCATAGCGTCGAAAGTAATAACAACACTCTTCAAAAAGACGTGTAGGACCTTTGCAACTAACCACCTGAAAATCAAAAGCCATACTCAATAAACTGTTGAAGTAATGATGATATTAACTCGTTGAGGAATATCATAAAACATACAAGGCTTGAGATGAAGAATGAGTGGAGACTTGAATCTGGTTTGCCAACAGCCACTTCAGCACCTTAGCGAGGGACGTCCAGCGAACATTGATATAATAAGGACATTTGGATCGCATCTCACAAATGAGTTTCTTTTGACGTCGAAGATAGTCGATAACTTTGCTGAGGATATTCATAAATACGAACACCTTAGTTTCAGCCATGACGTCGATTTACCCTTTGATCACAAGGTCAAGCTGGTGGGCAAAACACCAGATACGATAAAATGCATCACTGCACAAAGATTGATTGTGAAGAAGTGTCGAGAACCACTAAGTATGGCCAATCATATTTCTAGCTCCGTCAGTAGATGAACCAATCAACTTCATTCTCCAATCTGAGCAAAGTGGATCTAGCATCTTAATCACAAGATTGGCATAGGTTTGCTCACTGTGGGCCAGAAAGAACAGAGTAATCACTAAGAGATGAGAATACATGTTGAATTTTGGCTTCGCCATCATATCCAAGAACGGAAGGAAAACGTATCGTCAAATCAAGATGCGGATCTTCATCTTCGTCGTTGGATTTGTCCGTTTTAATAAAAAAAGCCCAGCATGATTGCATTATCTCTACCATTGCCTGCAATCCAATTGCACAAGCCAAACACAAGAAGTTTGAGGCTTCACCAAGAGAAGTACACCCCACTTTCGCTGCTGCGCCAAAATTCTCTCGATCGCTGTGAACAACTTTTGATACCTGGCAAAAACTGATACCAGCGCTCAAAAGCTCAAGCACATGGTTAAGCTGGGAATTGTTCTTGATATGAACAATGTAGAAAATCATTTTTCCATACTAGTTTGTCACTGGTTCGAATGCTTTCATTGCAATATAGCCTGAGTCCAATTTGTTCTCGTCAAAAAGCATGTCTTCAATTATGATTTCAACGATTTTCTTGTCGATGGATTAGCACACAGCACCATTGAATTCAGATTTCTTGAAGAAGAACGCTCTAAGCTTAGATTGCTCAAAGAAAGCATAGAATGCATCCGGATTCGATTCTTTCTCATTCCTGATCTAAATGTACTTCGCCCACTGCTTCGGACGCTGCTGTTGCTGCATGTGTTTTTTTAATGTTATTGTAGTCGAAAGAATCTTTCTTAAAGAACTGAAACGCTTTCATCTCAGCTTGTTTGCAAACAATGGCATCAACCTCATGACCAAAAGTTTGACAAAACTGGCAAATAGCAGTATCAACCCGTCGACTATGTTCGTTGATACGGGCAACTTTCAACTCGAATTCATCAATATAAGATTGTTTCCAAGGATAAGCTTGCTTCGGAGGCATTACAACGGTCACCGATGACAAAAACCACAACACAATGGCGCAAAATGCAGTAGCTAAGCTCCCAAACGCAGTACACCCCAAACACAGTATCCCCGTTCCTTCATATATCTCTATGATGTGCCCCTAATATATCACATTGTGGTATATTAACAATTTTGCGACATATTAAATTGGCCTGTATATACTTTATTTTAGATTCAACGTCACTCTTGTCGGTGCCAGGTGTAGTCAAGAAGCCGAAGCAAGAAAGAAGCTTGACCGGAAATATTCAACTCAGCTGAAGTAGGGTTGAAGTCAAAACAACCGTTTCAACCCATGCACATGGTGTCTTTCGAGGACAAATTGCATGAATAATACATATATGCATAAATGGGTGTTGACATAATGCTCTTGAGTTTGATTCCTTCGTATGAGCATGACTCAAAAAGCACGAATGCGAACAAGGCATGCCACGTGCCCTCGCCGGGGCATGCCTTTGAGGGTTGTAATATTGGAATCTCAACCTTTGAGGTTGTGCTACAACACTACATAGGAGGCTGTGGCATGTTTCTGATGTACTCTGCAGTGGAAACATTGTACTTTTCAACTAAGGTTCAAAAAAAAAGATCAAGAATGTTCAGGCCTCCATGTTCACTTCCTCATTCAAGTGAGCTATCTTAAGTTCTATACATGCCGGAAATGAAGCCTGTATTGTAGTTCCTTGATACAGGCTACATTGTCCTTTGCGTTGTAATTGTTAGCTAAGTTCCCACAAAAAGCTTCAAAATTTG